TGAGCATAAAGCCATTCTCTAGTGACTGACCTCTTCTGATAACAAGTCCAAAGTACATAATCTTAGGTCTGGGAAAACTTGTCTAGAGTGGTAGTGAATCTGCTAATGTGGATTGTCACACAGTTAGGCAGGGCCTGCCACCACAGGAATGACAGGCTGGCCTGTTGCAGAATTAATTGTGCCCACAGAATGCTCAGAGACATTCCCAACCTATGTAACAAAAGCAGATTCAGTCAAGCTAAAAACCACAGCATCCAAAGGAACATGATACAAAGTAGAAAAGAGAAATTGTGAAGATTATCTCAAGCACTATCATCATCCCAGTTTCCTTCTTATCTAATTCCTTTTTAAGGTGTATGTTGGTTGTTTATGAATATGATTCTCCTTCCCTGTAGATCACTAAACAACTTCTGGCAGGCATGTTCAAATATGTGTTTACTGGTTTCTTCACCTATTTTAATGTCTGGGATCTTAAAATCTTGCAAGCAGCCATCCAAGGCACACCAGTTGGTCTCTATTGATCTGAAGCCACAGAGGAAGAAAAAGGAAGATGAAATGGAAAGTGTGGTTGACTTGGAAGGTATGGGGCCACAACTACTGATAGTTTTGACCGAAGATTCCATAAAGGAATGCTGCTCAAAAGATAAAAATGCAGTACAAAATTTCAAATTCTCACAGAACAAAGATTTTTCTGCTTCATGGAGATAAGATGAATGCTTAAAATTATTATCCTGAGATAATTTTTAAACCTTAAACTAAAGTTATTGCCTAGTTTAACAATAGTTTATTGTTAAAACGAAATGATAGTTATGAAGAATTGAGGATAACCTCTTTTGCAATCTATCTATATGGGATCAAATTGGCAACAGCAACTTGAAAGATTAGATAGGAACTTTATGACATAGTGTTAATTAAAGAGGAACAATTAAGAAAATAAGTGTGAGAATTGTTTCACAATTAGAAAGATTTCTTCAATACCACTGAGTTGTGTATGTAGAACCTGTTGAATTAACGTATATTTTGTTGTGCATATTCTCAACCTCAAGAAAAGACCATAAATGATTAAAAAAAGAAAATGTTAAGAAGTCAGAATAAGGTTTCCTCACCCCTGGCTGGTAAGATTATCCTGTTTTTCTATAACAAAGATCTTAAAATTCTTATTGTAAAATTTGGCTGTATGGGCTTTCCCACACACAATATACACCACTTTACATTCTCAACATATCCTATGAAATAAGCCATTATGTGATTTTTTACACTATTTAAAAATTTTAATATATATAGGCAAATCCAATTAACCCAGAGTTATATTCATATAAAGTCTATTACTGTATTAAAACTTATGTGAGCCCACCAGATAAAGCCCTGGAGCTGGAGCCACAGGATAGCAGAGGCCAGCCTTATTGCGTGTACATTGGGCCAGGCAGGGGGCTGTGCAGTTGGTCAGATGGGGACTTTGCATATTACCAGGCAAAGAGGTAGGGCAGAGTTGGACAGGCCTGAGCACAGAGAGAGCTTCTTGTAAACAGTGTGTACAGGTACCTAGAGCTCAACCAGTAAGCCCTGACTGCTGCTGCCTTGCAAGTATAGTCATTTCCTGCTCATGTGTCTCAGCCATGATAGCCCAGAGCCAACAATCCAGCAAGGCCTCTGCCTGGCCAGTAACCCCAGCATCTACAGCTGAAACAGAGGAACCAATGACAGACACTGCCCTGCATTAAGAATCAAAGGCTGCAGGGCCGCTGAACAAGTGAATGAAACCAGAAAAGAGGAGTCTCCTCAGGGACTGAGATACACCCTAGAGGCCTGTTCTTGGGGGTCTTTAAAAATCATTGTTGTTGTTGTTGTTATGTGCCAATGAGTTGAGTAACACTCATAATGATCCTATGAACAAATGACCTGAACCCTGTTCTATAACTATCATCGTTTCCCTATGTTCATAGAGTTTCCAAAGACGTGTTGTTTAGGAAGTGGATGTCAATCCTGCTTCCAAGCCTGTCTTAATCTGGAAGCTCTACCAAACACTGTCCACCATGGGTAACCGTTATGACATCTGACACACCAGTGGCACAGCTTTCAGCATCACAGCAAACCCAGGTTACCTCACTACAGAAACTGACAGACCAGTCCTGTACCACTAAGAAGAATGCCCTTCCCAAACTTAATTAACACCAGGACCCATGGCCCAGTCGACTTTTAAATACAAAGGCCCACCCACCAAGTCTTGATTGACTTAAACAAGAGGCCTCCAGCCCACAGAAGATTTACAGCTAACAATCAGCTGTAGGCTGGAAGCCTCTTGTTTAAGTCAATCAGGACCTAGTGGGTTGGTTGAGTCCTGACTAAGTATCCAGTTTTGAGGCTCATGTGTGAAGTGGTTGGATTCTGGAGGGTAGGTTCTCTTGTTTTAGTTGAAAGTTAATAGGGTGTAAACTCTTTGGTCAGATTTGGGTTTTTTTAAACCCCCCCCCAAAAAAAAAACCACAACACAAACCATTGGAAGTGGGGGAGGAAAAACCATTAGGGGAAACAATAAACAAAAATTGAATACTCAGAGCTGTCACAGTTGGTTCTGACTCAGCCACCTGCCCTCGGGTTTCCCAGGCTGTAAATTGTAAGGAGAGGAATCAGCCCGTCCTTCTCCCTCAGAGCGGCTATTGGACTGGAATCACCCAAATATGTGGCCTTTGGATTAGCAGCACAACTTGTTACACACCACCCACCAGAGCTCCCTGAGAAAACAAAAGAGAGCAGTTTTCCCTGAGAACAAACAAACAAAAACACCTTATGGGACCACAGATGTAAATGCAAGCACTTATTTTTTGAATGGACATTAAGCAACTCATAATCATAAAATCAGTCAATCTCTTTTATTTTCTTCTTGTATACATGTGCCTCCTTTGCCTTAGACTTCTAAAAACAAGGAAACAATCAGAAAAAAAGTCCCCATCAAATGACAACCAGTCTTCTGTAAAGTTTAGTATAACAAAATGTAAGTACTATAATCATGAATATGATATATATACTGTACACAAATATGATTTGTTATTGTTAGCTACTATCAAGGAGAGTATGACTCATAGTGACCCTTAAATAACAGATCTAAATCCTATCCTATCTTGTGTCATCATCATATCTAACACACTGGAGCAGAGTCAATCCATCTCATTGAGAGTCTTCCTTTCTTTTGCTGACCCTCCACATTTCCAAGCATGATGTCCTTTTCCAAGGAACAGTCTCTCCTAGCCACGTGACGAAAGAATGTAAGATGAAGTTTTGCCATTCTTGCCTCCAAGGGGCACCCTGGCTGCACTTTCTCCAAAACATAGCTGATCTTTGGGCAGTCCATGTGAAACTCAATACTCTTCTCCAACACAACTCAAAGGCTTCAATTCTTCTGTCATCTGTATTCATTGTCTCTTTATTCAAGATCTCAGATGCATAGCAAGTGATTGAAAAGATGATGACCTGAATCAGGTGTGCCTTATGAGAGGGAATGAAAATATCTTAAAAACAGAATGATTCAATACAGTATCTGTGGTGTGCTGCAGAGTGAGCGACTCGTGCTTCATGGGAAAGAGAAGAGGAGGAATTTACTTCATAAATCATACAGTCATAACAATTAAACTTCAAGGCTATATAGCTACATTGAGGACATGACTATTGATGTCCAATATTTTGAGAAAAAGGCAAAGCACAGTATTGAAAGGACAAACTGAAGTGTAAAAGTATGGGTACGTATGGGCAAAGACTAGAATGGAAAGGGCAGAAATAAAATTCGTTCCTATGCTAGATTAGATTGTTGTTGTGATAGTGTACCATCAAGTTGAATCCAACTCATAGATGATCCTCCAGTGTGTTCTGAGAGGCAGTTAATCACAAAGGAGTAGATTGCCCATGCTTTGCCCATGGAGCAGCTGGTGGATTCAAACCATGTAACTTTGACATTGCAGCAGAGTTTCTTACCACCAGGCCAACACATCTCCAGGTTAGATTAACATCTTTAAAACTGTTACAGTGGTATTTATACAATTAGTGAGACAAGTTAAGGTGAAATACAATAGAAGTAGCAAGGTTCTTCCTCTCAGAAAAAGAATTTCCCCAAAAGGTTTAAGATCATAATTTCTTACAGAGTGAATAGATTTTCAGTCTCAGATACAATGAACAAATGGATGTGAATAAACTAGAAGACCTTCTCTCAATCCCTAGCCAAAGTTGCTCTAGGTTTGCCTAACCCCACCACATCAATCTTTTATTTTAATTGCTTTAGTGACATTCTCCACATGATACATTTCTGGTTTTGTATACAATGACTTTTTTCCTAAAAAGCTTTAAGTGCTTGGCTACAGACTCTATTCGTTCGAATGCCTACCATAGATTTGACCTGCCATTGAAGATTCTTGACAGAAGAATGTAATTAAATATGGCCTGCTAAGATAGAGTTGGATTACTTAGTATTATTTTTACCAATTAACCTATCAAAAAGAGCTCTGATTTTATTAAGAGTAAGTAATTAAGTTGCTGAAAGTAATTAAATATAAAATAAATATATCTATTTTAAAAAAGATTTCTAATGTGTGTGAGGCATACCATTGAAGCATGCAGCGAAAAGCAAGGGTGTTGTAAATATCAGCAAAGTCTAAGCTCCAGAGTTTCACTCTGGCATCATTATACTGATGAGCAGCCTATGTCAAAGACACAAAAAAGCACTTCTTAATATGGCTTCATGTTAATTGCATGTTAATCTATTGCAATTCAATCATGTCCCTCCCATACCCAAACAGGAGAAGTCTGAACTGACACTGCTAGCCTGTGGATGGGAGCTCCAGCATTACAAAACTTCCACAAAAGGAGGCATTCTGGTGCCTCTTCTGCAGGAAAATCCTCTTTCTCCATCTAGTCATCAACATCAGTAGATGGGAGACTTGGGTAGGAAGCACTATGTCTTTATCCTAATGATAAGGATGCAAAACAAACAGTGTTTGCAAGTTTCATACATCTTAAGATTTCCCTGTGTTCCCAACTAGTGGCTGTAGAAATAGCCCTGCAGTTCCAAACACACAAACAATTATAAATATCCACAGGAATACTCTGTCCACCACCATGGCCACATACTTCCAATCATCTTCTACCTGAAATGCAAAAAGCCAAAGCAATATTTTAGAGTCAAAACCAAATTAAACACACTCTGTTTCATAAATTTATTTTTCAAGGAAGATTCCCCTGGACATCTTCTAATGCGATTGTTGTTTTGTTGTGTCTGACTTGTATCCGTTACATGGTACACATAAGAAATTTTGTTTTGGCCAAGAACAAAAACATCTTACACAGCTGGATATGAAATAAGCAGAAGATACAAATAATTCAGGAACCCATGGGTCACAGAGAACCTTTCTTGATCCAAGATGCTTTCAAGGAATAGCTGCTCAGATAGCGCTATTCTTGTGATATGCACAATGGGACATTTTTGTCTCTTGGTAAATTTAGGAAATGGGTTTGAGATAGGAGAGGAAAAAAGGTGCCACAATACAGGGTATTATGATTAAGGACATTCTTAACAAGAAGATACAGCTTTCCAAATTTCAAAGCTTTAAAAACCTTAAAAAAACCCCAAACAAACCCCAAAGCCCAAATCTCTTTAATAAACTAGAGTAATACAAAATACAACAACAACAACAACAAAACCCAGTAAACCTCTCTTTCTCTCTATTTGTGGAGAGTTGCTTGCATTTGTCTGTCTTTCTTGTCCTCAATGTCCAACCTTCTGTTAAAGTTCTGTGATGTGTCTCAAGAACCCTGTCTGGTGGTGTCTAATAACAACTCTCTCCTGGATTTTATGAAGATGGCACAGGAAGGTAAGTTCTTCTAGGCTTCCTTGTCCTTGATACATCTCTCCACCTCTGTGGCAGGCATTCACAACATCTTCCCCTGCACCCACAGGGTGACTCCCAGGTTTCACACTATTTCTTCACTGGAAGATAGGGATCATAGGAGTTGCACTATAAAGTTAAACTCAAATATCTGGTACAAAGTTTTAGATACTCTCAGCTAGTCACCCGTATGCTATGAAACTATGATAGGCTTGATTTTTCTAGAGTTCTTTAGGAACCAGGGACATGCTTCTGTATGGCTAGATTTTAGAAAGTGAGAAAAATGTCACCAGAGTTGATGTCACTTAGTGCAGATACTCCTTATATAACCCCTCTCAAGAGTGTGGCAGGACAGGAAAAAACCTCCAGTGGCTCTCCGACACCCCTGTAGATTGGTCTCCTTTCTCAGGACTGAGGAGCACCCCTCAGCTCACCTCTATGGCCCTCTGCAGCACCTTCCCTTTCCCTGCTAGCCAGAGTGTAGATCATCCTCTCTACTCAGTGCTGGTCTCTCAGCCTATCTGTTAACACTGTGAGTGGGGAGTGATGGCAGGGAGGGGCTGAGGATTGACCACAGTGGGTGATAAATGGCACCAAGCCTAGTGACTCCACTGTCTTAGCGGCCCCTCCCTGTATTAGTCTGGTTCGTCTGTTGTCACTGTCACTGGAGACCTCAGGTCATCTTGTTGTCACTCCTGACAGTATCAGGGAGTATAGAATGTACCCCTCCACCTCCCTCAGTGACGCCACTGGAAAATGTACTGAGTTAATGCTAAAAATAGTCTAGAGGCTCATTCAATCAACTCCCAAGTCCCTCTCAGTTAGAATGCCTGTGATCGGAGCTGCCAGAAGGCTCCCTCCCACCTTTTACTGTCTGCAACTCTTGCATCATTTCTCTTTCCTTCCTCTGTGGAGAAAGCTTTTTCCTTTCTACCCTTTTGTTTCTGGTGCAGCCATTCTTGGTTTTGTTAACCGAAGTTGTCTTTAATGTTTATTTTAACCAGATTCCAGTTGAGTTAAAATTTCTGGTGATGCAACATTGCACTAGTGCTGTATTTAATTCCACCCTACTCCTAGGTATGAACCAACACTCCACACAGAGCTGCATGGAAAGAGAGAGTTGGATCTTTAGAGTGACACTGCTTGCCAACGCTTGTAAATGGAACTCACAGTTAAAACCTGGCCTTGTCCGAAAAGCAGCCATAAGCCTGATAAAGACCAAGACCAGGCAAGCAGAGGGACAGGTGCTTACCTCCTTTGTTTCATTTTGGTTCTTCATGTTATCTGCAATGAACTGCACACTGTTAATCACATCTTCCACTTCGGGTGAGTGCTCTGGATTTTCAGCCATCCACTGTAAAGGCTGCCGACTTAACCTTCTCTTGCTGTTGGTGGTCGATGCCCGTGATTTATGGCAGTGGCAACACTCTTTAATATCAGGCTCTCTGCGGTTAGTGAACTTGGCGTTGGCTGGTTTACTGACAATGCTCTTCGGGGTTTTATCAGAACACGTCTCCTTCATCTTGTCCAGAGGCCTCCTCATCAGCAGGATCTGTGGCAACAGCTGAAGGAAAACTGACTTTACCCACTCGGGCATTGTGTGTGTGGTTGGAGTGCGATAGTGTATGTTCAACACAAAGACGGTCACCACGATGGACAACGTGACAAAGATCATGGTGAACAGCAGGTACTCACCCACCAGCGGGATCACAAGAGACGTGGACGGAATGGTCTCGGTGATGACCAGCAGAAACACAGTCAGAGAGAGCAGAACAGAAATGCACAGAGTCACTTTCTCACCACAGTCAGAAGGAAGATAGAAGACCAACACGGTTAGAAATGAAATAAAGAGACAGGGGATTATCAGATTAATAGTGTAAAACATTGGCAGTCTTCTAATGTAAAAAGAGTAGGTTATATCTGTGTAAATCTCTTCACAGCAGTTGTACTTTATGTCATGCTTGTAGCCTGAAGCATCAACAATTTCCCATTCACTGTTTTCCCAAAAATCATTCATATCCACTTTAGAGCCGATAATTAGAAGATCAATCTCAGCTTTGTCATATGTCCAGGAACCAAATTTCAGGGAACAATTTTGATGATCGAAAGGGAAGAAGGTGATATCCATGGGGCAGGAACTCTTGAAAATAGCCGGTGGAGTCCAGGTTATCATGCCATCGTATTTAAGAAGAGCTTTTGTTTTGCCTTCCACTTGGAAGTCACCGACGGCACTGTGAAGTGAAATAGACACCGTTAGCAATAATCCCTTTTCTGGGTCATCAAGCACCAGAGGCAGCTTTGGACAGACATGATGGTAGTCAGATGCCCGTACTTGTTATAGAGGACAATGTCAGGCTTCCAAATCTTATCAGCAGGTACACGAAGAGTCTCAATGCCATCGTATTCTGTTGGGTCCCATCGCAATTTATAATCATTCCATATCTAAAGGAAGCAGAAGTCATGTGAAAACTTTTTAGTAACTTTCTGCCAATGTTAATTTTACGATGATAGAATACTTGGGCTTTGTTTGGTCCTTAATTTTTTTTCCTTTTTTCTAGTTGTCTAGTGGATAAGATGTTGCATTGCCAACCCAAAAGCAAGTGGTTCAAATTCACCAGCTGCTCCACAAAGAAGATAGGACATCTCCTCCTGTGTGGTTTACAGACTCTGAAAACCCACTGGGGGCATCAAGTATGGGTCGATTCCAATTCAACAGCAATGAGAGGGAGGGAGAGAAAATGTTATTTGTACTTACTTGGTTGAATGTGAGAAAGTTTTAAAGGGTACATTGGTTTCTATAAAAAATTTGAGAAAGTAAAAGCATGGAGTATGAAAAGACAATAGTTGAGTTGATTTTGGAAAATATTTAATTAGATGATTAATTACCTATTGATTATTAATTAGTTGGCTAAGATGATGGGCTCAATTTCTATGCGCCATAGAATATTCAACCTGGAAACAAAGTCTGCTTTCTTAATAAAAATGAATTTAAATGTATAATGATGTGTTTGTTAGAGTCTGTGCAAAAACTTAAGATAGAAATGAAGAGGTGACATAATGGGTGGGGGAATGATTAGGAACAACCATTAGTGAGACTCTAAATCACTTTCTTTTTCAGTACTAGTTTTAATTAATATTTTTATAACTCACAACATTGTGTTTCATGTGTGTACATTGTTTTATATAATCTTTTCTTTATATAATATTTTGTTCATATATATTGAGGTGTTTCCCCCTTGCAATCATCTTACTAATAATAACATTCAAGAAAGCATGTAAGCCAGCTACTTCGTGCCTCATGCTGTAACCTCCTCCTTTTAGATAGCCAATTTCTGATTTGCCCAGCCTTAAAACTTACTTGCTCTTGAGCTGAGCTATTGACTTTCCTAGACCTGGTGTCATAAAGATGAAAGGTGTTAGAATTCAAATTATAGATAAAAAAAATAATATACTTCAGAGCAGAAATCAGATATGACTGAAATCTCTGTCAGAGAGATATTTGCTATCAGGTAATAATTTATACTGTATTACAAGCTGACACAATAACTGCAGTTATGGGCTTGAGCATGCCAAGATTGTGAACATGGCACCACCAGAGAGAGCAAGATTTCAGTATGCTTGTTGTTCACTGGGTCACTTTAAGTTGGAGTCAACAGCACTAAACAATTACAAGTTGATAATGGAAATGGGGGGTACTAGTGGTTGTTATCCATTAGACATTACTAAGGTGACACAGGAGTAACACAATTCAGAGAGAAAGACAAGTGGTGTAGGCACATACGTGACGCAGCCACAGATTGGTTTCCATGATTTGGTTTACTTCATCCTAAGAAAAAGAAAATATTTTTAGCTTCAAATGCACTTTCTCACAGAAAGATGTCTTAGCACAAGGATTACAACTAAAAAAGATCCCAATCTGAATTATTCATGCTAATGGAGGAAAGCTAGAAGCGTGAAAAGGCAATATATAAAAAGTATTTCATGTATAACCAGAAATAAGATTTTTCCATATCTGGTCCCAACCTTGATGATATTGAAAGGAAGCATTGTTTTTAAGGCTAGTCTAAGTCTCATTTCCTCCATTAATACCTTCCTCATCCTATAAATATTTCTGATTGCAAGAAATTATCAAAGGTAGAGAAAAGAGGGGTAAGAAAGAGGGAGGAGAAATAGTACCCTCTGAGAAGTTGGTAAGTATTCAAACTTGACTCACTGTTGTTTTCTTTCCCACTCCTTAAACACATCCCTCCTTAATTGTACCTCAGAGTTCTCTAGAATCTAAGTTTTGAGCTCATCTTCCCAAAGATCTATCTGCAGATGTTAACCTCAGCTGGTTTTTTGTTAGACTCTACCACTCACCCAACAATACATCTTTAACTTCCATTCAAACCTACACTGATTATTTCAACTCTTTGTTCCACATGTATTTATTGAGTTTCTCTTATGTACTCTATGTAGACTAGGGATAGAAGAGTAAAGAGGGTGACCCCTTAGTTGTCAGTTAGGGAGACAGAAAATTAATAGTAGATGTAGAGCAAAGATCTCTCCTGAAGTTCAGTGCTGTTAGTAATAGGATAATACTCATCCATCTGCAGGAAATACCCTTTGATGAGGTTATTTCACTTACACATCAACCACTAATGTGAAAGATTAAGACATTTAAGGTTTTTAACAACTTATGTAGTCTGAGATTGACCAAATATGAAATCAAGATGCTCTGATACTTACCAGTGATTGGAATGTGAAAGCTGTAAACAAACAAGAATCGGTAGTAGTTGGAAAATAAGGACTTGGTAATAGAAACTACGTGAAGGTCAAATATGTGTGAGCGTTTTCCAAGACTAATGACTAGCACATTGTAAATATAGGGATTTTTTTAACATAAAAACTGACTATGGGGGGAAAAAAAGTGACTATGCATCCCGTTGGATAGGATATACAGGAATCAAATAAACAATTGTTATATGCCATTGAGTCAACTACAACTTAAATCAACATCTGTGGGAAAATATAATGCAGAAATTCAATATCATCAGTCAGGAAAAGGCCAGGGCCAAAGGAAGGACAAACCATGAATTACTTCCATGCAATTACAAATAGGAGCTTAA